CATTGCGTCCGCCATAATCTTCCCAAAAGCCAGGGAAGACTTATATTGTCGAACCGCAACGACCTGCGCTTCGCGCACAGCCTCTGCCTTGGCAACGTCGTGAAGGCAGACAAGATCTTCCTTCTCTTTCTGGAACTCTCCCCGCGCCTGCTCCAGTTTCTCGGCATGCTCAGACTCTAGCCGCTTCATCTCCTGCTCCCGCTCTTCGGCCAGCCGCTTCTTCTCTTCCTCAAATTCAGCCCGCAGTTCACCGCGAACTCGCTCCCTCATGGCCTCCACCTGCTCGGCCAATTTGCTCTGAACGATGCCGAGCTCTGTCAATGCATCGTTCGCCTTGGTCGTGGCGAGCTCCGCACGCCCCTCTGCCCCGGCCAGCTTACCCTCTAGCTGGACGATTCGGGATTCATCTTCCTTCATCTTCGCGCGGTCCCGACTACCCTCCCGTTGCGCGCGGAACGTCGACATCAAACCCTACATCGACAGCACTCTAATACTTAGAAAGAAAAAAAAAGAGAAGAACTAATACTTAGGTGAGGCAAAGACACAGACTAAGCATGGAGCAAATGGCGAAGAGCCAACACAAGCTTACAGCGAAATGAACCTACGCCAGGTCCTCCAACGGGTCCGACTTCTCGAGGCGCGGCGGGACACTAATCATGGGTCCCAGCGCCTTAAGCGCAGCATTCGCCGCGACACTGTTACATGTCGCGCCTGTGTGAAACCGCACGTCGCGGTAGTAGTTCACAGCAGCGGCAGGAGCACCCGCGAAACCTGCCATCTGCGGCAGCTTCTGCTGGACGGTAGCCCCCGTTGAGCTGCCAGCAGCGGTCCTCTCTGGGCGAGAGCTCTCAGCCCCTCGAGAAGCAGGTTCCGAGACAACCAGATCCCGCGCAGGCGGGTCAGCAACGCGCACCACCTTCGCGGGCCTCTCGACCGTCGATGGCCGCTCGATCTCCTTCCTCTTCGCGCTCTTTGGTTGCGCGGCTTCTCCCTTTTCTTCTTCCCTCGCGGCGTCCGCACGACGTCATCAAGTGACATCATGCTCGCGAGGCTAGAGAAGTCCACACCTGCGCCAAAAGGTCGTAAGAGAGCGGTTAATAAGATAGAATGCAAAAAGAAAGAAACACTACTAACCATCGTCATATAGCTCGGACAAAACTGCCTCGCGGACACCGTCCAAATACAGATTGAACTTCTGCAGCATGACCGCGTCGTATTCTACGTCAATCCCGTCGTAACGACCCAAGTGCGACTCATACTCGCGCGTGCCGCCCTTCTTCCAAACGGTTGGCTCCTCCACAAACTCACTCGCCCATTCCCCGGGAGTCGGCTTCACGTAGAAAAAACGTTCGAACCAAGTCTTTTTCAACTTGGGGGACCCATAAACGAACCCGTCGGGCCTCTTGTCACGGCGCTTAATCGACAAATAGTCGCTCTTCCGAGTCGGCTCCTTAATTTTGTATATCTGCCGGAAGAGCCCGTAAGTGGGCGCAATTTTGAGCCTTTTGCACGCGAGATGAAGGCAGCTTGCGTGCATCACCACGGAAGGAGAAAGTCTCCCGACCGAGCAACCGAGCCGTCGGTAAAGCGAACAGAGCAGCGGATCGATGGGGAATTTAAACCCCATGACCCAGTACTCTGTATACACCCCGAACCAGCCCGGGGGCAGTTGCCAATCATGCTGCGCGTTGACGGCACCGCGTACTCCCAACTGGGGGGGAATCCCAACCCGCTTGCTATTTCCTCAACGTCCTCGCGCGTGTATATCGAGGCGTGATCCGCCCCGCGCAGCAAGTTATCATGGGGCGCCGGTTGATCGCCCCACATCTCCGCCCAGTCGAGAACATTGTAGGCCGCGCCTACACCACGGAAGCCCAAGCGGCTCACCGCCTCAGTCACCCGCGCAACACATCGGGGCTCTGGTTGCGCAACCGATCTTCCGCGATCACCTCGCCGGATGATCAATACACCACGACCACCGGCGCCCGACGGTCCACCGGGGTCCACGTCGCCGTCGGAATCCTGGACGTCCTCCTCCGACTCAGCTCCCAGGGACGACGCCACCGGAACCCCGCCGTCGTCCGCCGCGCCGCCGCCGCCATCGTTGCCGGAGTCAGCCAGATCCAGTGAAGGATCAGAAGAAACAGGTGAGAAAGAAGAAATATTACCTTCTTCGCCTTGTACGCCCTCAGTCTCGTTGATGTTTGTGCTAGCCATGGCTACACTCCACGAAGAATTGAGGCTGTAGATGGAGGAGAGAAATCTCGGAGAACAGGAGCAAATGGAAAGAAAAGGAAAGACTAAGAAGAACTCAATGGGAGCAAAATGAGAAGAATGCAAACCCCCGAAAGCAGACACCTATTTATAACTACTGATGGGAATGCGAGGGGTTAAAGTGACATGGGGAGTCGCAACCATCAGGGATTTTCGAAATTCAAAACGGCCGCCAAAACCGCCCTATCACACGACGACACGTGGTAGACCACTTAAAGTAGGCAATCATAACAACCATAGACACTAGCAGTTGACGCCACCAGTGTCGCACAACGCCTGGGGGGCATGGCATACCCGCGAAGGAGAAAAAAGCCCAAGAAAGCCGCACGGAGATCGCGCAGACATCACCGAGAAAGCATCACGGAGAATCCGAAGGATCCCACCCACGGGCATCGCGCAGTCCCGAGTTGATCGCGCTAAAATCAAAGTAGAAAAAAGCCCAAGAAAACCGCACGGAGATCGCGCAGACATCACCGAGAGAGCATCGCGGAGAATCCGAAGGATCCCACCCACGGGCATCGCACAGTCCCGAGTTGATCGCGCTAAAATCAAACAACCGCTCAAATAGCCGCGCACGCAAATCCGAAATCAAGAACCGCTCAAACAACCAAGGTAGCGCGCATGGTGGCAAGGAGACATCAAGCGAGGAAGTCAAAAGGACGCACTCACATACACGCAGTTAGCACAACCCCAGCAACGAGCGCCGCGCGTAACAAGCCCGGGAAAATATCACACGGGTCCGAGTCTATCAAGCGAAGGTCTCAACAGGTGATGCTCGCAGAACACCCCCTGCTGGGGGGTAATTGTTGGGCATGTGACTCGGATCTAGCCACGCCAGGGAAACGCGCCAAACACAAGCCTAAATGCCGCCAAACCCGCTAGTGCACGACGCCATCAAAGACCTCCAGTGAGCCTTGGCGCGAAGAGTTTGAGCGCGGCACAAGCTACGCGCGAATGGAAAGGAACAAGCGGAGACTAGACCACAGAGCCGCAAAAAGCCCCGTCGCGTTTCCCGAGGGATGGTCACATCAGTGTCCTAGATATGGTCGTAGGTACACCTCGGACATATCCTAGGTAGAGGCATGGCCTAAATCCCTGAGCATGTCAGTGGTCATGTCACTGTCACATCATGTAACTCAACCACTCACCCACCACCTTGTAGCCTATAAATACGGCATTTACTCTGGTGGGTGAGGGGATCGCATTTTTACATTCTATCTCTATAATATCAACTTCTCTCTCTAGAATTCCAACTCTTTGGTTCTCATCTTTCTGAACGATTTTCCCCTCTTGTATTCTTCTTGAACCACATTCTTCTCCGAACCTCACTTCTACACTCAGTTATGTTCAAACAATAGTCATTACCTTCATCTCATGTTTGTCCTTCTCCCTCAATTTCCTTTCATATTCACGTTCCTCTCTTTCAATTGCTAATCTTGCATGTGTGTTTGAATTTTCCACCAAATTGGCCATATTTTTATCCCAACTTTCTGTGGAAGAATATGGTCTTCTTCTTCCGACCTTCTGAACGGTGGATAATAAAAGAGATGTGTTTGCTTGAACTTCAGCACAATCATTTTCCCCTGATGGCATGTAAGATGAAGATCCACCCATAGATGAGATGGCTGCCACAAACGCATAAAATTGTTGCGTAAATTTAGGACAACAATGTAGTATACTCTAACATTGCTTAAACTTGAACTATTTTTCGGTGTCCACGACCCCGTGCGGCCCATCAAATTGGCAAAATCCAGCCCCCCCCCCCCCCCCCCCCCCGCCTTTTTGGTATACCTTGTCTTTTTGTGGACCAAATCTGGTCCCAATTTGAACTTCTTTAGTCTTTTAGTCTTACCATTTGAGTGCTTTTTTTGGTTTTAGTCATAGGGTTGGAGATGATTTTAGAGCATTTGGAGTTAGCAACCTACTTTTACACTTTTGATAAGAGTATTACGATAATTATTATTTCTCCTTTCCCCTTTCTCTTTTCCCCTTCCCCTTCTAGGGAAGTATGTTTCATTGGGATTTTATGTAAAAATTTCAGTTTTGGTACGTGAAATTAATATATCTTAATATTTAGTGTCTAAAATAATTTGTTACGTTGAAGTCCTGAAAATATTGATGAAAAATTATATATTTGTACCTAAATTTTTTTTTCTAACATTTTGATACTTGAACTTTTAAAAATTTACAAATAGGTCTAATGTTATGGTATGCTTTAATGAACTTGTGATATACTTCCCCTTCCCATTCCCCTTCTTCGCATCCAACTTGTGTTATGCTTTAATTAACTAGTGATACCTAAATATTTTCTCTCTCACATTTTGATACCGAATTTTTAAATTTTACATATAGGTCCACTTTCAAAAAATTGTTGTTAAGCTTTAAGAAACTTGTGGTGTGCTTAATGGGAGTTCTAGTCTACTTTAGAGAACTTGTAGTCTACTTTAAGAAACTTATTTTAATAAACTTATGATATGGTTTATGGGCTTGTGGTCTAGCGATGTCAATGGGGCAGTGAGGATACCTCAATACCTATACCAGCCCCACACCAAGTGCGGATCGAGGTGGGTAATACCCGTGTGGGTAA